AGCTTTCGTTCGAGGATCTATTCGAATGACACCCGCCGAGAAGCATTTTTGAAATTTTTCTACAAGCTCTGGAGGTACAGGCTTTTCTGGGTTCAAAATCACCAATGGTAGTAGACGGTATGACGCCGTCGCTATTACTTGGAGGTTAGACATGCGGCTGCTGCTGCTGCTCCAAAGTGGCAACTCACCAACTGGACAGAATTTCGCATGATCTTTCCCTACTCCCTTGACAGCATGTAGCTCCATGTCAATTTCTTGCCCAGGTCGTAGTTTCGTCAGCACGATGTTTAAATTCGTAGGTGCGGGGGGATTGTCTGCCATAACGATCTCTTGCTCTCCTTGTGGAATCCATTTCAAATGTGAGGACAGGACTTCATGGTTGATATACAGCTTGCTTTGGTCTGTGGTATCTTTTGGCGCGTTCTTCCGACGCTCGCAGGCAACTTGTAATCGAAACACGAGTGTATTGCGGTCAGTAGCCTGATCATTTGCACCTGTCAAAGACGTTAGCATGAAAGAAACATCCATGGAAATTTTTAAAACTAGCTTTGTTTCATATCCATGAGGGCCGGATCGATGTTTAGAGGCACGAGGCCTATCCGCTGCGCAAGCACTTCATCGACGACAACAGATGTGTTATCCCAAACGTAAACTCTTTCGACACAGATCGTCGGAACCTAGAGTATGTCAGACATGATCACGCCGCGACTGCAAACCTAATTCAGACTTGCCTCGGCAATCAGTATTCTCCTGAAAGCATTTGCGATGGATGCATCCACGCCTACAAGGTCAAATTCGATGGTACGGTTCGATAATCTTTCTATTTTGACGGTTAGTCCCTATCCTTGCACGACCATGGATCAATCGAATACAGATCGAGCTTTAGGGCCGAGACGCACCTTCCTGAATCTCTCGAGGTCCCATGAGTGGTCCTCATTTGGGTAGTGTCCAGGAAAGTTAGTGCTGGAAACATTGGAAACACGTTCTGCGTGAACCCCGACGTGTTTTCTGGGGTCATATGTGGTTACTGGCATACTTTTAGTAAATGCAAGAGGTACCCGCTCGGGAGAAAATGTACAGCACCGTTTAACAAGACCCCTCACAGACCCCTCCCCCTTCTTTTGGAATTTCCCACACCCTAGGGATATACTAAATTCGGTAATTTTTGCGGTACCAACAGCGGACGCTGAGTGTATCACCAAACATCCTAGGCATCCAGGCCATCCTCCTGTCATATCAATGGATTCATTGAATGAGCGACACGCGCTTATTGAAATTATGTAATGCACTACTACGTGGCACAAGCATGGCACGGCGCACCAGGTCATGCATAGCATGCATATATCATGTATGTTTTGTCTGTGATCATATAACTAAAGGCTCGCAACAGTAAAAACATGCATGGCTACAATGCTAGTTATATCATGCACGAATGGGACAGTATGACCTGGGTTCCTTGATTCTGTGCACTAGAACTAGATCATGCTAGGTATAGCCCTTTTATTATCAAACAAAAAGCTCACCCGCAACCAGGTTCTCTTCAACGTACATGCATGATTCGAGTTTTCGTAATGATTTCTGCCATCGCGTGGATTTTCGGAACCTTCTAGCGGAGGTTTGGGGCTTCATACCTGCCTTCCGACATGATTCTGTGAGTCGATGTGAGCCTGCTAGTGCCCTCTGCATGCACAGAAAATTTGATCTGCCATATTTATGCTGCACTGTTGCCAAACGATCAGGAGCCATTAGGACGGGAGAATCAAATAAGGGAGACCAATTCAAGTTCCGACTCGGAAGACCACCGTGATAGTCACTGAGCTTTTTCATACGAGGCTCAGGATGCCGCTGCCATGATCGGAGCAACCTGTGTACATACCGGAGTCGCGCCACGGTATCGGAGCGAAAGGCTCGTCTTCTAGCGAGGACAGTCACATGTACCCGCGGATCTGAGCTGGGCCGCCGCATCAGCTGCTAGTGGTATTTGGTGAAGGGCCACACTGGCAGTATGCGTTTTTTTGAGTCTAGCCCGACTGATGGGCGTAAAGCACTCCTGTGTCCGGGTGTTCTCCAGTGCCCGGAAATAACAGACCAAAATAGAATGTCATCGGAGCGCCTAATAGCGTCAAATGGCGGATGCGTTACGAGAATTCGAGGCTGGAAAAAATTAAGGTTCGTCAATCAGGTGTTCCAGCGGAATGTTCAGACTTCAACAAATGCGAACAGCTGAGGTAGTACATCGTACGTTGTATCAACCAGGATCTCGACAGACTCAGCAGATCATACAACACGCTGTGATTACTAACATACCATCACTAGGGGTCGGCGTTGCCGACGTGGACCTTGCTCACATTCCGTCTTTTTCTAGCTCTATCGTGCTCGTTTAGTCTGGCTTCGTCCCAGGATTTCTTCTGACATCACTATATAGCTACTACTGCATTGTTTCTTTCAGTGTACTGCACTATGGTACCTTGTTTTCTGTCAGACTGTCTGTCCTCGAGAAACGCTTTTTCGTTTCCTCCGCGAGTCGCTCAATCCTGTTATCTTCTATCCGAAGGTCTTCGTTTGGATGTTGAAGGAATAGATCATTGTCGAAGTCTCTGAGAAGACGTATGCATTCTTGGCCGTGACTTCTGGATAGTGCGACATATGCATTGAAGGGAGATAGGCGAAAACATGTCGTTCTTCCAATGTCCACTAAAACGTGATCAATCGTCTGTCCTTGTGCTTTAAAGTCGGTAAATGCGTAAGCTGGTGTTACAGGGAGTTGACGCCGCGTGATTCTTGTAGAAGGACCTGTGCCCATGGAAAATTTAATTTCGCAAGGTAACACTGGTATGTGCTGAGGCAGAAGTCCGTGCAATGGCGGTAAATCGCAGAAGTCGAGGTGAATGATAACAAATGCAGGGGGATAACGCAAGAATGCTCTCTTTGCTTCCACAGCGTTGCTCCCAATCTTTGGCTCTCTGGGATCCAGAACGAAATCAGTAATTCTCAGTCTATACTCACTGAAAATGAAAGCACATTGATTGTCTGAGGTACTTAGCAGTTCAAATACGCTAGGTTGCATGGTGTTTCGATAGATAGATAGTAAATACGATGTTTAGGGGCGCGGCGTAAAATTATAGGATTAATTTTTATTTATTCATCACATTATTACCAACATATTAACAAAAAAGGGAGTTGTCCGAAAACGACGAATATTGGAAGGGAAGCGCGCTAGCTTCGCCCTGTGGGCGGAGCTCTGGGCGCGAGGGAGTTGCACGGTCTAAGTTATTACTTTGTTATTCAGAAAACGACAAGTATTGGAAGGAAATCGGAGGTAGGTGATAAGTTCGCATCATCGTATCACGTTGTATGGGGTCACTGTATTTACTATTATTTGGAAATCACATAAAATGATCCATGTGAACCTGACCTTGCTTCGCAAGGTAAAAGACAAAGTCAGCTATTTGTGTGCTTGGCACTCGTGGCGTGATAGGAGGCCATGTCACATGTTCACGGCCCATCAGTACCCAACTGTATTCGGCTGCTCACATTTGAGTTTGTGGTACATATGGATGTCTCGCGACAAGGCTATAAAGGTGTGCCGGCAAGACGGCTGATGCTTTTAACTAATATTGGTTGATCAGCGCCGCATTTATGTAAAGTTTGAAAGTTTGAGGTCTTTTGCCGATTACGAATCAGTGGAGCTTTCTTCTACAGGGTCAGACATGATGATGACGATAACAGACAGATAGTACTTCCGAGGCGCCACAGTAATGTTCCATAGGGCCCATCTGTGCACGTACCAAGTCGCACAATCGATTCAGAAGTCCAAAGGAGCCATCACATCATAGTACACCTTGCCGAACCTTGCTGGGTGAATCGCTAAGTATAACTCAAGCATTATCTGGCGCCTTCAAGTTCAAGCTGTGGCACTTCAAGATCTCTGAATTCGGTCCCTGGCAACGATATTAGCCGGACTGCACCGTACTACTACTACCGTGCCTTGTTTCAATAGACACGATAGCGGCCGTACCGAACAGCCATTACAACAATACGCGGAATTAAATTAAAGACTTTTCGAACGGACGATGGTTTTGGTAACTGCAAGGATGAGGCGTGGGTTCTCGGTTCAACTTTACTCAATTCTCGGTATAAAGCTTTCCAACTGGTGTCTGATGAGCAGGCTTTGGACGAGGTCACCCGACCTCCTGACATCCGCGTCCGCGTCGTGGAAGCACCATGGATCCCGATCATGACTTCCCTCCCATCCCCACTGGACAGTCCTCCCAGTCTCAGGCACACCCTTCTCAACCCGAAGTCCAAAATCCCTCACCGTCCGTGGAACCTGAACGTGTAGACAGAGCAGTTAGTCCGCACAGTCAATTGGCGGCCACTGAGAAGCCCCCCCTTGGTAGTTCGGAGTCAGAGGGAGATCGTCCGCAGAGTCAGGATTTTGTGGCGTCTGAGAAGCCCCTCATTGGCAGTTCAGAGGGACAATCACCAGGACGGACACCGGCTTATGGTCGTTATCCAGAATTTGACATTTCTCAACCTCCTCCGGTTGCAAGAAATGGCCTGAGGGACGGACATATCAAGCGTGGACCGTCGCGTCGCTCAGCTACGGGCCATGTTCGTCCCACTGGATCGGGCATAGGCTGGATAGTGCCCGAAATTGAAGATAAACCTCATGTTTGTGTTGCTAGCATTTTTGTACCGGGGCCATTAATTCTGATCCCGACCTCACAGCGGCACACGATCGGATTTCGGCTCGCCCCAACCATTGCTAATGCGAAGATTGAGAGGGAGCGATACGCCGCAAAAGGTTAGTCGAAAAGGTTAAATAACACCTTTTCAGTTCGGTATTCTGGCTTGGATGTCTCCTTGTTTTCTGACAATATTCCCTTCTATGAAGCACGAGTTACAGGCCTTGCATTGAACATTGCGATAGGGTTGCAAGTAGCCCTTGGGGCACTCACTACCGGTATTTCGGCATCTTTAACGGGTAAACAGGTTAGTTCAAAGAACTCCATCAGGGTTGATGCCAAACTGACCCTGAGGTCATTGAACTACTAGGTTTCGATTGGCATATCTATTCTTGGTGTGTATTACGGTCTTCCAAATCAGATCCCAAAAATCAATACACTTCAGGCGGCATGACTACATTAGTCGCTTCCTATCTCGCTCGTACACGGGGATCAAATGAACCAGAACTATCCATAACTCGTGTTAAGGACCTGGATCATTTCTTGAGAGACTGTTCAGCTTTTGATATGGACAAGGGGCACGAGTATGGGACACCTGAGCTGGATGCTCAGTTAGACCATCTTAGAAAAAGGTTTGAAGAACTTCTCGGAAATGCTGATGGGTAGGGTCATGTTGTGTTTGCGTTACTCGGGCTATGGCTGACGATCCGCTCTAGGCAGCGAAAACTTTCCCCGCCAGTGTGAATACAATTGTTCTAGGTTCCTATAACACACATTCTACGAGGTCTCCCACCAATCATTTTGTCCAATACCAATCTCCGAGTGATTATCACTTCACTTTAGCGGTTCTCTCATGATACATACTACATTCTTCTAGATACGATACGATTGTAAGTTATCACTTGTTCGATAATACACCAATTGTTCCGGTATACGATTTCTCAAAGTTTGGATGATGCTAGACCACTGCCTTTGTGATGTAAACAATATTTGGTTTTCTCGGAGGAGCGAGGGACCACAAGCGCCGTTAAAGGGGCAACCACTTTTCCTAATTGATACACGAGTCATTGTCTGCTTAACATGTGGAGAGTGATGCCTTATTTTTATCGGATCCTACCATGTGAACAAAGAACTAATGCTGTGCTTACCGGAGCATGTGACAGCTGTGATTTCCATTACCCGAATCGTATTCAAGTTAGACTGGTCGGCCGGCAAGCCGTCGATAGACGGACTTCACCAAGTCTAAGTACATCACGATTGTGACTTCGTGGCGCGTTGAGCACACGTGATACTGCCCTCTGTGCACGTGATCCCCTTCTGGTAGAGTTGGGGGTGCGGAGAACAATGAGCAGCATTTCCATAGTTCGTCGAGATGAAGACTAAGAACAAACAAACAAAGTTCCCCGTTGTGAGTTTCTGCGACAAAGCGTTTAATTACCGAGTCGTAGCTCATATGTTGGAGGACAGGCACGAATCAAGAAGATTATGCAGAAAGATGAGGAAGTCGGGAAGGTTGCGCAAGCTACGCCAGTGGTCATTTGTATGTCTTCGTACACCGATTTATCCCTTATCTCATGAACGTGTCTCTACTTCTGATACCAATGTTTGACGCCCGATAGCGAAAGCATTGGAATTGTTCCTGGCTATGATTGTGGAGGAGGCGGCTAAAGTCACGGTTGAACGGGGGGCAAAGAAGGTTGAAGCTTATCACTTGTGCGTTTATTGCTACCTTGACCGCGATCTTGTCGTGAATACATATACACAGAAAGCATGCGATCGAAACAACAGAGATGTTGGATTTCTTAAAGGAAATAGTTGAATCTGTACCCGACCCTTCGGCGGGCGGTACCATCGACCTACAAGCTGAGGCAGCAGAAAACGCGAAGCGAAAGAGGAGCAAAGCGAAGAAAAACGGGATGGCATCTGGGGATGGCCCAAAGAGGCGGCGGAAAAAGAAAGAGGATGTTGACATGGAGGGTGTGCCAGAAGAGACGATGGGAGAAGTAAAGTCTGAGGAAGGAGATCCTCGAATGGAAGACGATGATGATGCCCGTGAAGAGTCATCGTCTCGTCCCCGGCACCGACGGAGTGATGATGGCGAGGATGACATGCCATACGTACCGCGGTGACAAAGGTGTTCGGTGTGAAGTGTGCGCTGTAACAGCTTTGTGATATTTATCATTCTCATCATATCCCATATCCCTTCGTCCATCATATCTGACCAGTTGTACTGTACAGCATAATCTAGGACCTACACAAGTTCTGCCTCCCCTCGAGCAACCAATTGCTCCACCACCGAATACGGGGTCAAAGATATATGTCCTTTCCGCATATCTAATGCGGTCCCACTGTAGTCTGATTAGAGAAATCGACGTCGGTCAATATTCAGCAACATACTCTGGCAGCCGCACTGGTGGACAGTCCTGTCGAGCAAGTACAAAGACTGCACGACCCTTATCTGGTTCAGTAACTAGATGCTATTGTGAGTACCACTCTTCTCGGTGAAACGTTGACGTCCATACCCATAGAAGGTACAA